GGATCGTATGGTGTGTGCTGGATGGGAGCTGGAAGCATGTAGGTAACTGTATGAGTCAGTGGGTTTTCTGTAGAGGGTGGTGTCTAATTTTCCATTTTTGATTTGTTCTGTCGTGTCCAGGAAATGGATCTCTCATGTGGAATGGTCCAGGCTGAGGTTAATGGTGCGACACTCTCCGCAAATGTAGCACTTTAAAGACTAACAAGATGGTTTATTAGATGATGAGCTTTCATGGGCCAGACCCACTTCCTCAGATCAAATAGTGGAAGAAAATAGTCACAACCATATATACCAAAGGATACAATTAAAAAAATGAACACATATGTGATTTGTCCTTTTCATATGTGTTCATTTTTTTAAATTGTATCCTTTTGGTATATATGGTTGTGACTATTTTCTTCCACTATTTGATCTGAGGAAGTGGGTCTGGCCCATGAAAGCTCATCATCTAATAAACCATCTTGTTAGTCTTTAAAGTGCTACATAGTCCTGCATTTTGCTTCAGCTACAGCAGACTAACACGGCTACATTTCTATCAGAAGTAGCTAAGTGATGGTATTAAGGTGGCCTGCACAATCTTAATTCATCCTTAACAACGAGAAGTCCTATGGCACCTTATAGACAAATAGATATATTGGAGCATCAGAGATGCTTAGTTTTGCAGTTCTCATACTATGAATTTGTGTCTTCAGAGCTAAAGCAAGAACATTTTTAGATAGAGACAGACAGAAGTAAGAAATAACAGCCCTCAACCTTATTATCCCTCTGCAAATTTGTGTACACAGAGACAATTCCTTACCTCTCTCTAAAAGTGCAAAATTTCAAAAAGTTCAATGAATAGAACACAATATTTAAGTTTATCATGTTGACCTAGCTGACAATTTAATTTTTGTTTAATAATTATGTGGAGGATTTCATTTTTTTTTGTCTGTTGAATTGGAGATACTTATGAAGTAATTGGTACATGAGCTATCTGCTTCAATTGCCTTTGGTAAATGAAATATCCAAATAATCATTTATTTTGTCATACAGTCATAAAACTAATCTGAAAAGTTTTCAAAATAATTACTGTTTACAAATGAATAGTGTGTACATTCTAAAAATGAAACCTATATCTAGAATATGTATTAAGGTTATGATATCCAAAAAGAATGCACTTCTATGTAGAAAACCATGGTTAAATTCAGTCTTCCTGACTAATGATATTAATCAATTTGATTTAAATCAAATCCACCCAGGTCACATGGAAACATACTGATCCCCACATGGGTTATCAACAGGGTTGAACCTCTGGATTCACAGCACAGACCTTGACCGCTTGAGCTACCGAGGTAGTTTTAGTAAAGCAGCCAGTCACAAGAGAAGAATGATGTACATTTTTCCAGTGGGTTCTACAGATACTGCTGGCAGAAGGATTTCTGTAGCTCAACACTTGTCTGGGTTCAATTCCAGATTCTGGGAGGAATGCCATCTAATGGTTACCAGATCCTGATTCTCCTGCTCTTCACCATTTCTCCCTGTCCCAACCGAGGTAGTTTTAGTAAAGCAGCCAGTCACAAGAGAAGAATGATGTACATTTTTCCAGTGGGTTCTACAGATACTGCTGGCAGAAGGATTTCTGTAGCTCAACACTTGTCTGGGTTCAATTCCAGATTCTGGGAGGAATGCCATCTAATGGTTACCAGATCCTGATTCTCCTGCTCTTCACCATTTCTCCCTGTCCCAACGTGGTCTTCCAGCATATACCACTTCTATCCCTGCCCCCAATATATCCATCTGCCTCCCCTCTGCATCTGCCCCATCCCATTCCCCCGCCCTTCCGCTATAATCTCAGCCTGCTGCCTCCAGTATATCCCTGACCCCATCTGTTCCTCACACCTTTGCTTTAGAATCAAGCTACTTCTTCCTTTTCCTACATGCTTCCTGGGAGCCAGCAGGGGAGACAAATATGACTGAGGAGAGCTGGTAGCCATTAGAGTACAGGAGGGAGACAGAAGCAAAAAGGAGGTTTGTTAAGGAGAGAAGAGAGCTGGGGTGAAGGAGGATTGGAAGGTATTGGCATGATGGGCAAAAACATCTGGGGAAGATGTTGGAAGAAGGGGGAGAGAAAAGGTGGAGAAGATCAAAGCAGTGGGCTGAGTTGGAGTGCATTGGCAGCTTAGAGACTTGTAGTGTTGTCCAAAGCTGGAGGAGACCTGAGTGAAGGAACCTGGGGTAGCCTCCTCTATTTCACTCCTGTCCCTTCTAAGCCCTTCAGATCCCCACCACCACCACCACCACACACACCCCTCTGCCTGCCAGCACCTGCCAGGGCTGGTCAACTTGTGGCTACAGCCACCTTCACCTCTCTCAGACAGCTAGCTGCTGGCTCAGGTCTAATAGGGGGCAGGACAGCATGTCTCTCTACCTCAGCTAGAGCACCACAGCAGCCCACGGTGGACAGGATGAATTATTGCAGAATACAGAACAGAACTGGTGAAAACAGGTCATTCCCAAGACATAACCTCTGGCAGCACTATGTTGGGGGCTAAGTGTGTTCTCCTCCCTAGTGCTTTGCCACCATACAGCAAAACATTCTATAGACTGTCCTGCTCTGTAGTGCCTGTACTACCATTGGAGAAAAAAGAGGAGTCAATGCTCATGCAGTAGTCACTGCAGGTTTCTGACTACAGGACAAGTAAGTGGGATTTAAGGAGGAAGTTAGCTGAAAAACATGATGTCCCAAACAATGCAGGACTTTGGAGAAGACACACTAGGCCACATGCCATCTGGAAAAACACAGGTGCTGAGAAGGTTGCTTAAATTCTATGGTGTGATTGCAGTGTAGTGTTATAGCAAGCACTTCATAATTTCATAATTCTCTGTTTAACACTGGCCACATGATTTGAAGTTCTTTTAACATGACCCTTCTCCTATATTTGGCCATAAAGGAATGTATGCCTTCTTACATAGCACAGCAACACCTTTGATATAACTAAATTATTAAATAAAAGAGCAGCAATGTTTAATTTTCTGAATGAGAAATTACCAGGCAGGCCAGACACATTAGCAAGTGTAGACACTTTTAGAACTTTATGTTTAAAAAAAAAGGGAAACATTTTTGGAGATGGGAGCAATTGTGGGTTTTTTGGGGAGGGGAAAAGAGGGACTGAGATGACATACTGGAATCTTCTTGCTTGCCTCAGTGTAAATGAATAATTGTGTACAGTTAAAGATGTGTAAAATCCACAAGGCTCGCTAAATTGTATAAAATAGTAGGAGCTTTCTCAAAGAGGAAATTCTAACAAGCTGAACTTATTCTACAGATCTCTTTTGCTGATAACACATTATTATTATTATATCCTTTAGTTACAAAGACACTATCCTTCTCCAGCATAGACACACACACACACAAAACATAAGAAAATTATTTAAATTTTTATGTGGTATATTTTCATCTCTTCTATAGACACCAAAGGGCTATTTGGCACAAGGAATAACCTGAGGGAGTTATCGAAGATATTGCTGCAACTTCAAAAATGTTCGGTTGCACAGATGTGGTGCTCAAATTATGCTCAAAATGTGATCAGTGTTGCACTACACTAGAATAAAAACTTCCACAGAACAAAAGAGAAAGCCATCTTACCATGAGATGTCCATGATGGACTTGTCAAACAGTTCATGGATGACAACTAAAGGTCTCTTCAGACATGTGAGCTTAAAATGGAAAAATAAAGGAGACTGAAATTTAGAATTATTATGCACAACCACATAATCTCATGCTCAAATCTCATCTCCTGAACAGGAATGCTATCTGCCTGCTTAATGGTGTAAGGTTTGGAGTGTACCTGGTGTTAGGCATTTCTCTGTAGAGCACAACTAATTTCCTGAAAAGTTATGACACACTCAAGCCCCACTTTTTAAAACAGAAGTTTCTGACTAAAATAACTCTCTCTATATAGCGAAAGAAAGGTTTAGTGTTATACCCTTAAGTGACTGATGAATAAATATCACATTTAGGCTGCTCAGAAAGGCAACAGTGCAGGCAGCAACTTGCATGTTCTGGAATATATCCCTCATTGTGAAGCCATAAACTTTGTTTAAGCTGCATCTCTGTTCTGTTACAGCTTCCAAACCAGTCAATCTTGCATTCAAGTGAAGGAATAACCATTTTAGCTCTTGGCCACAATTTGAAGATATAATTTTACTTTAGGCTTTACGATAAAAATCAAACCAGATGTTTGAAGATTAAAAAAAAACATTCTCTCTATTCTGTTTCTATTTGTTGGCTGAAAGGAAGAGCTGGAGACAGAGGCCAGGACAAAGCAGGCAGAGGACCAGTCAATATAACAACAGCTAGGCTGTGCTGTGTTCCTTGGATTATGCAGAGTACCTCATAGAATGCCAGATTCCCTGGTTGGCTATGCTGAATATAGGACAGGAGAAAGGAACTGGTTCTTTTACAAGAAGTCAGAGCCTGTGATTAAGTGAGTGGCTTTGGGTTAGGTTTGTTAGAACAAGTCAATTCCTTTTCCCAGACATGGCTAACAGAATACCCTCCTTCTGAGCTCTTCTTCTTTGACAACAGCAGTGTATGACTCTCCTAGTCCCTCATGTACAATCAGGCATTAGAAGTGGATTCTCTGGGCCGTTTACTTCCCTAAATTAGTTTCACAGAGAGAATGATACCCTAGATAGCATCCAGAACCTAGTTTCTTCTGGGATACTGTACTGCCTACCCTACTCTAGCCCAAACATCAACAGAGACCTCAGTCCATCAAACTTGATGTAGAATAAATCACTTTAAATTTCAAAATTGCAAAAATCAATGGGAGATTTACCTGCATATACTAGAAACTGTGGCTAAGGACATAATCAAATTTTTGTATAGTTTTAAATGTTTCAGTGCTTATTTCTAAAGTAATTAACAATAAAAACAAACTTCTTCAATTCCAGAGTTTCTCTACGGTCCTCTGACAGGCAGAGTGACCAATAAAAACTGTATCTAAATGGAAGATCCTAATTCTGTACACCTGATCTCTGTGCAAAACACCCAAACTTGTCCAGATGATAACATCAGCCAAAAAATACAACAAAGAAAACTTACCCAGACAGACAGAGATCGATCCTTACTGCCAACAGCACAGCAGCAGTAGGGACAGCTTGACTTGGTGGAGCTCCCATTCTTTTGTTTCTTTTTGAAGATTTTTGGATTAAATTTCTAAAAGGCAAAAAATCCCACCCAAATAATTAAAATAAATATTTTTAGAAGATTGGGAAAGGGAGTTAAATTAATTTAATCCTTACAAAGGATACCAGGCTAATATCTCTTTCAAACAAAGTCCCCATCATAGCTTCTGAACACAGAAAAGCAATGTAGGTTTCTTAACCCTGCCTACTCAATGTGTCTTAGCCTTAACACTATACAAGGACATTGTTTATGGATCACAGAATTTTTGTCTCCACAGTCAATTCAATCTTTGGCATCTCTGACAAGTGCACCAACAAGTATACCAAACTGTATTAGTTTTATTGGCATTTTTTTGTGATGTGAACATCAGTCTGTTTGGATCCAGACTGATTTCAAACAAACTGCTGAAGAAACTTTACTTTTGGTGATTCCTGCATCAGGCCGGATTGAACAGTGACCTAGGAGTACCTTATTATCCATTCCTTCTATACCCTGCCCCCTCCCTTCTTTCTCATTTTTTCCACTAACAAAAAAGTTGTACAGGTAAAAGTCTACACTTATCTTAAACTGACATTTTTAAACATCCATATATAAAATATTAACTTTTTGTCATATTTATATCTACCTATAATAGATGCTTCCCTCTACTGCCCATACAATATCAAGAAAGCATATTAATTTTTAGAAATATTTTAAGGAGGCTCTGGAAATTTACTAACCACCACTGTCACTGCCTTGCGGTGCCCTACAAAATCCATGTTGGTTTTCCATCCATCACGTTCAATGATCTGAGCAGTAGGTCCAGAATTATTCATGGCATGAGCAGAAACCAGATAGTGTCCATCAGGTGACCAGCTCAGACGCAAAACATGTGTTGTGCCTCCACACTGAGAAAAAAACAGATAATAGCTTTAAAGAGATCTAAATTGATTGGTTAAGAGTGCATTTATGACAACTTTTGAAGATTTAGAAAAAGAAAAGTAAGATTTTACAAAATGAATGAGTGATTTCTTGTTTCTTTCATGAGTATAACAGAATTTCAGCAGTAATATTTCAGTACACTAAATTCTCGGTGCTTCATCCCTATCTGATCGGTCCAATCAGAGTTCTCAGGCTGTAACCAAGTTACTAGAGAGTAAATAGAAGTGTTTGGTTATTGTCAAAATCTGGGGAGACTGAAAAGAGGCTCTCAAGGACAATTTTTGAAATGAAAAAACACCTAAACATACCATTCTTTATTACTTGCAAGAATGCAGAATTCTATAGAATAGTGTACTAAGGATATTAGATATCAGGTTGCTGAATAATTGTGTAATCACATGAAATCTTTGTGGTTACATAACTATTTGATAGTCCCTAGGGTGGAGCCGGCAGCCAGTGTGCTCTCGGCCCAACTCCTTGGGAGCTCCCAGCTGCCTCTCACTGCTGCCTCTTGTCCTCTCCCCACCGCCCTCCACTGGCTCCTGCCCCTGATACAGAGGCAGCAAGAGGGGGAATGTGAGTAGTCGACAAGATTAACCGATAAGCAAAGGCTTATTGGCTAATTATCTAGCCAACTCCTCATTGACCTTCCTATACTGTACTAAGGATGTTAAGATGCAATTATCTGGGCAATTGTATAGTCGATAAGCAGCTGTGCAGAGCCAAAGCGGAGGGAGCTCCAGGAGTCGGCTCCAGGGCCAGCCATGCTGCTGCTCTGCATTTTAAATGTAGTAAGAGCTGCTGCGTCTTGTACATTTCAAAAGCAGAAGTGCTGGCACTGGGAACTGGCGCCAGCAGGGACTGAAGCAGTCCTCACTTGCACTCTTTTCCTGCTGTGCCTCTACCTCCCCTGTCTCACACAGAGACTGTGCTGGAGGGAACCGACTTTACCGGTCCCTCCCTGCACTGCCTCCTGCTCCTGCCCCCCTTGCTGCCTCTCTCTGATAGAAGCAGCAAGGGACGGGGGAAGCACCTAATTGAGTGGCTACTCGACTATCCAATACGTATTTGCTTATTGGATAGTCAACTAATTGCTAACATCCCTATAATGTACACCAAATATTCACCATCCTAATTAGTGCCATCCCTCCAACATATGAATTGCAAATTATCAAACCCAAATTTGCAAACACACTATCTCACAGTTTCTAAATGGCTGAACAAAAATGAATGACTCTGAAAAACACTGCTAGCCACATCCTCACAAAGTTACTTCAAAACATTCTACTCATTAGCACCTACATCTGCCCCAGAGAGGTTTGACTACATTCCTAGTCAAAGTAAAGTAACCGCTTAAATAATATCAGAGGGGTAGCCGTCTTAGTCTGAATCTGCATAAACAACGAGAAGTCCTGTGGGATCTTACAGACTAACAGATTTATTGGAGCATCAGCTTTCATGGGCATCTGACAATACATCTGACAAAGTTGGTCTTTTCCCACGAAAGCTGATGATCCAATAAATCTGTCTGTCTATAAGGTGCTGGACCTCTTGTTGTTTATACAACTGAACAATACAGATTTAGGTGCAGTGAAAAGAAAAAGGAGAGGAAGGACAAAAATCCCACAATTACTCACTGTCATGTTTTTACAGCAGATACGCAAGTCTAGTCAAAAATCAGTACACTACATTTGGATGCTACTCACAGGCCAATAGATAAACTTAGCATGCCTGTGATTAATATTCAAAAATATTTGCTAAAACAGTATTTTTCATGTGAACCCTATTCAAATTATAACAAAAAAAGGCATCAGTGCATTAAAAGCCTGGGAAGTAGCATCCCCGCCTATTGTTTACTTTCTCTTAATTGTCTAGAGACAACCACACATCTTGAGCCTCTCATACACCCACATTCTCCTGCACTCCCACATCCCCGGTCCCCTCCCATAACATTTCTGCACCCCCCCACACCTTAACCTCGTGCTCTGAGCCCATCATACACCCGAACCCCAGGCCTGAGCCCCTTATATACCCCAACCCAGACTCCTGCACCCTCACATCCACAGTCCCCTGCCATAATATTCCTGCACCCCCACACACTTCAGCCTTGTGTTCTGAGCCCATCATACACTCAAATCCCCTGCCATGAGCCCCTCATACATCCCATCCAGATTCCTTCACCCCCACATCTCCAACCCCCTGTCATAAGACTGACAGAAGACAGCCTGAATGTGTGCATGAAGCTGGATTTGACCAGTTATGATGTAAACTTCAAATAAATGCACAAAAAGATGCAGCAGCAGAAATCCTATTAAATAAAGTCTGTCAGCACAAGGTTTCATTTATACTATTATTAATCATTATGTCAATTATCAATAATATTAAGTTGTATATTTTCAGTAATGCAAATGGGCATTCTTTTATGGCTCTTTGTTGACCACATATTCAGAATTTTGATGTAGTTTAGCTCTTTGGTTTGAAAAGGTTGCTGACCCCTGCCCATGGCAGCTATATGATAAAACCCTTAGGCTTTGTCTATACTTCTAAAATTAAAATGCAGCTGTAAAGTGAAAGTGTGGCCATGGCACAAGTGTTGGGAGAGAGCTCTTCCAGTGTTCTATATAAATGACCTCCATCAGAGGAGTAACTAACAGCACTGAGACCCTGAGCCAGAAAGTTGCAGCATAGTAAAGTGGCAGTGTAGACTTAGCCTTAGTGGTGGTAAGATGCAAATATTCCTCTTCAAAGTTATGTAGCAAATACATTGGTTTAGGTAAGCTTCTAAGCTTCCAGAGGGAAGGATACCTCCTAGCAAATGGGAGCAGGATTGATGTGCTCCACTGGCAGCTCTACACAGCCCTTACATCTGGAGGGAAGCTATGGCATAATGTGCCTGTTTAAAGGGTAAAAGAAGGAAGAAGCAATTATATGGGTAAAGATGGGCTATTCACAAAGATAAGATCATATGATCTGTACTCAGTTATTTTATGTTCCCAAATAGCAGAAGTTCCCTTTCTGGACAGAAGGTTACAGAGGAAGCAGAGAGCTAACTTTTACACATAGGACATATTCGCACCTTGTGGGCCCTAATCAGGAATATTTTTGCCCACACACACACACACACATCACAAAATAAAAAGTGAGTGAGTGCCCTTTGAGCTGTTTAGAATCCTAAGGAATTACTCAGTCTGCTTGTGCCTAGCACCAGCTCTGGTTGCACAGTTGGGAACTCTTCAAGTGAGATAAGACCAGGCACAAACCGCACTGCAAGAATGTCAGACTGGCTTAACTAGTTAATGTTTGTGCGTGGCTTTGAAAATCAGAAATATTGTGACTTTTTTCATTTGTTTCATATGCATTCATTAACACATGACAGATACCTCATCAAATGGTTTTGTGATGCTGGTTTCTAACTGCCAGTCCATGGTCCGCCACACCTTCAAGCTTCGGTCATCAGCCTGAGAGGCTATATATTTCCCAACAGGATCCCAGGTCAATCCCTTCACCAGACCAGCGTGTCCCTTCAGAGTAGCAAGAATTTCTGTGGACAGCAAAAAATTAATAGAACACCTCTCGAAGCCCCTTGTAGTCTTATGATTGCCAGTAACTCATCTACCCATTTAAAAGTGAAGCTTCAACAGGCTACCAAAGATGGTAGCTTCTAGAATATGAAAGGTTAACTGGTTTATGGTTTCCAGTTAACCAATGTGGGGCTGAAGCAGCCCCTGCCTGCAGCAGGGGAGGCCACTGCAGCCCAGCCCCCTAGGCTGTCACACCTTTAATCAGTTAACTAGTTAAAGGCTGCATTTAACTAGTTAACCAATTAAATGGGATTTTACATCCCTAGTAGCAGATGCGGAACAAGTACTAAAGCAGAAAATAGGAAAATAAGGAGTTCCTAGAACTTTTTCAGGATTTGAAAAATATACTTTAAAAGCAAACCAAAAAGAGGTAATACAAGTAATTGTGATGTTCAGGGCTTGACAATTAACATAATCTACTTGCCTGTGGCGAGTAGATTTTAGCCCAGCACGGCTGCGCAGCGCAGTCAGCACATGCGCAGTGCGTGGTAGCGCATGCGCAGCAGCGCACGGCTGGTGAGCAGGGCTCACCATCGCTTGGCAAGCCCTGGTGAGTTTTATGCAAAATCAACAGCACAATCTGAAGATTACAGCTCTTTATTGTAGTGTTGTGATCCATTTCTCATTTTCAAAGTCTGTGACAATGACTAAACAGATTACTAGGTATTAATCACTACAGTAAAGACAGGACGCCTGCTCCAAAAGTCAATTTTTGTCACTGAGAATTATATTTGTATATGAATAGCTGAATGAAGAGAGTTCCTACCTGGAAATTTGACAGCATTCCAAATGACAACGGTATTATCCACACTGCAGGAGGCCAACCAGGCATCATGAGGAGACCATGCAACATCCATGACATCTATTAAAAAAAGATCCTCTATCGATAAGACATATTGCACTGGAGCTACAAATCAGTGACTAAGTAGATTTAAGCAAGTAGTGCAGCCCCTATTTCAGATATGATCTTACTGTACATGTTATATGTACATGATCTAATTTGAGATTCAAAGTAAAACTATGGTCCACATAAAGCAAATGAATAAAGGGAGTAAAAAGAAAGCTTTCCTTTGATTGAGACACACTCAGAAAGAGCTGCACTAAGTCACAGACTAATATTCCCTTATCATATTAAACCATTTACATTATTTCCACATTTAATATTGAATTACAGGATGGTTAATAAAAACCATAAGCTATTTCACCTGCAAATCATATTTCCATTGTTCCATTCCCCTCAAGGCATTCTTTGTTCAAGTCTTATTTGTAACTAGTAGACGGATCATATAAATAAACACAATCAAGTTATATATAGCTCTGTTATTATCTAGCAATTAATACATTTTTATTTTGCTTTTGACAAAAGCAGTAAATATAGAATCAGATTATAAATTCAGCTATAATAAGATTTCCCATTCTAATGATTTTCTTTTTATTGAAATTCTATTTTTCCAGTATCTTCTAATTTCTGTGTCACTTTAATATGGGACCCAAAAGGAAAGAGATTTAGAAGCAGCTTTACTGCCATCTGAGAAACTGTGACAGGTTGCAACCCAGGCTGTGTGTCATGGATACTGAGAATCTTTCACATACTGTTAATATATCCCAGCTGGGCTGCCAGCATTTCCACAAGGACACTAAAGGCTGTTAACCCTAGAAACACTAATATCTCCACACACACACACACACACATAATTTCATTTCAAGCCTCCCAATCGTTCAGTTAAGTAAAAGACTAAATTGTATCTTTATTGTTTCAAAATTGATCATAATATACTGAATGGGAAGAAGAATGGTTCTATTGTTAAGGCACAGAACTAGTTGTCAAGAACTCTATGTGACAGCTTGTGCTCCCCATGCTATAAAATCTTAGGGCAACTAATTACATACTTTCATTACTTGTAAGTCTATCTGCTTCTACTTCCAAGCTCTTATGCAGACAGGAAAGATAGTCTAGTGGTCCGGGTACTAGCCCAGGATTTAGGAGATCTGAGTTCCAGTCCCTACCTCACCACAGACTTCCTGAGTGATACTGGGCAACTCACATAGCCTCTGCCTCACTTCCCCATCTATTAAAAAAATGGAAATTAGAGTACTTCCCTACCTCACAAGGGTGTTGTGAGGATCAATACATTAAAGATTGGGAGGCACTTCAGTTACATGGCTTAATGGGGAGCCATATAAGTACCTAAGATAGAGAAATACAGAAACATGATGGGCAGGGTGTTTATAGGAACCACAATATCCTCTGTCCAGGGGGGCTGATTTGCATTTAGTGAGGCAGCAGCAGGAGATATAACAACAAAAAATTATTCCAAACCGGATGGAAAAAATGTCTCACTACCAGTCCACTTATAGAAATCATACAGCTCCACAAGATAATTACAAAAAGTATCATGTTTGTTATTTTTATAACAATTTTTTTTATAACAAATCGAAATAACATAATTCCACTAAAACCAGAAAATAAACAGAATACACTATTTAAATATAATACTAACAATAAAAAATTATTAACATTTTATAAGTTGAGTACACTGACTTGTAAAAGATAAATTGTGTGGTGATCGTCAGAGCAAATCAGTGGTAAAGTCAGGAATAGTATCCAAAAATGTTGACACCCTGTTTACAGAATCATAGAACAGGAAGGGACCTCAAGAGGTCATCAAGTTCAGTCCTCTGCCCTCACAGCAGGACCAAGCACTGTCTAGATCAGTGGTTCCCAAACTTTTCGGCATCACGCCCCCTTTTTGATTCTTGAGAAACCCTCACATCCACCTCCTCCCAAAACAGCAGCAAAACTTGTTGAACAAACCCCCCCCCCCAAAATAAAGAACAACAAAAAGGGAACTAACTGGGGCCAAAAAACAATAGCAGCCCCCCAAAAAAAGCAAAACGTTGGGGGAAGGCGGGGGGGCTGGGTCACCTCACACACACCCTGGAATTTCTGCATGCCCCCCAGTTTCGGATCCCATGGTCTAGATCATCCCTGATCTATGTCTATCCAACCTGCTCTTAAATATTTCCAGTATGGAGATTCCACATCTTTCCAAGGCAATTTATTCCAGTGTTTCACAACCCTGACAGTTAGGAAGTTTTTCCTAATGTCTATCCTAAAACTCCATTGCTGCAACTTAACCCCACTGCTTCTTGTCCTTTCATGAGAGGCTGAGGAGAACAATTTTTCTCCCTCCTCCTTGTAAAGCCCTTTTCAGTACTTAAACTGCCATCATGTCCCCTCTCAGTCTTCTCTTTTCTAAACTAAACAAGCCCAATTCTTTCAGCCTTCCCTAATAGGTCATGTTTTCTAGACCTTTAATCATTTTTGTTGCTCTTCTCTGGACACTCTCTAATTTCTCCATATCTTTCTTGAAATATGGTGCTCAGAACTGGACACAATACTCCAACTGAGGCTTAATCACTGCAAAGTAGAGTGGAAGACTCACTTCTCGTGTCTTGCTCACAACACTCCTGTTAATGTGTCCCAGAATCATGTTTACTTTTTTTGCAACAGTGTCACACTGTTGACTCATGTTTAACTTGTGGTCCACTATGACCCCTAAATTCCTTTCAGCAGTGCTCCTTCCAAGACAATCAATTCCCATTTTGTGTAAGTTAAACTGATTGTTCCTTCTTAAGTGGAGTACTTTGCATTTGTCCTTATTAAACATCATCCTCTTTACCTCAGACCATTTCTCTAGTTTATCTAGATCACTTTGAATTTTAACACTGTTCTTCAAATCACTTGCAACCCGTCCCAGCTTGGTATCATCTCCAAACTTAATAATTGTGCTCTCTGTGCCATCATCTAAATCACTGATGAAGATATTGAACAGAACCGGTGCCAAAACAAACTCCTTCGAAACCCCACATGTTATGCCCTTCCAGCATGATTGTGAACTGTTAATAATCACTCTCTGAGAATGGTTATCCAGTAAGTTATGCACCCACCTTATAGTAGCCCCATCTAGGTTGTATTTCCCTAGTTTATTGATAAGAAGGTCATGCAAGACCATGTCAAATGTCTTACTAGATATACCAAATCCACTGTTTCTCCTTTATCCACAAGGCTTGTTATCCTATCAAAGAAAGCTATCAGATTCGTTTGACATTATTTGTTCTTTACAAATCCATACTGGCTGTTACCTATCACCATATTTTCTTCCAGATATTTGCAAGTGAATTCCTTAAATTACTTGCTCCACTGTCTTCCCTGGCACAGAAGTTAAACTATCTGGTCTGTAGTTTCCTGGGTTGTTCTTATTTCCCTTTTTATAGATGGGCACTATATTTGCCCCTTTTCCAGTCTTCTGGAATCTCTCCCGACTTCCATCATTTTTCAAAGATGATAACTAAAGGCTCAGATTCCTCCTCTATCAGCTCCTCCAGTATTCTAGGATACATTTCATCAGACCCTGATGACGTGCAGACAGCTAACTTTTCTAAGTAATTTTTAACTTGTTCTTTATTTTAACTTCTAAACTCACTCCTTTTCCACTAACATTTACTATCGTAGCCATCCTGTAACCATCCATCTTCTTGAAAAAAATCAAAACAAAAAAGTCATTAAGCACCTCTGCCATTTCCAAGTTTTCTGCTATTGTTTCTCCTTCTTCACTGAGCAATGGGCCTACAATGTCTTTGGTCTTCCTCTTGCTTCTAATATACTCACAGAACATCTCCTTGTTATCCTGTATGTCTCTAACTAGATTTAACTCATTTTGTACCTTTGCCTTTCTAATCTTGTTCCTGCATACCTGTGTTGTTTGCTTATATTCATCCTTTGTAATTTGTCCTAGTTTCCATTTTTTATATAACTCCTTTTTTATTTTTAGATCATATAAGATATCTCTTGGTTGATACAAGGTGGTCTTCTGTCATACTTTCTATCTTGCCTATGCAGTGGAATGGTTTGTTGTTCTAGCCATTAATTACACTGCCTCTCTTAAAACCCACCATATTTTCCCCTCTCCCCCTTAAAGCTCCTGACTCTCCATGCTACCACTTCATAGCCAGTTTTAATTATTAGTGATTTGCTGTGTAGTGAGGAGTTCTATGACAAATGGACTGGGAACAAGAAAACTATCATGTTCATGATGAAAAATATTTTTATTCACTGTTTATTCAGATTTATTCTACATCTTTTTACTTACCCCCTGAATGGCTTCTCAGAATTGAAACACATCTCCACTGTTCTACATTAGCAAGTTTACTACTCGAACCAAACACAGTACTAGGTCCAATGTACCTAGTTAAAACAGGACCAGAAGAGTTATTAACAAAAAACATCTCAACAAGTTACTCATTAACTGTTTGTTATAGAATATAGTAAAGTTGTATAGAAAAAGTCTACTTTATGCTCAGATATTACCATTATAAGGCATGAGACAAAAATAGCAATCTGGTTTTATACAAAAGTGAAACTTATACCTTTTAAAAGCTACATACATATACTCTCTACTATTATACTTCCTAAAGCAAGTTGATAACGCTAATATATAAAACCTCCCTTTGAAAGTCTAATAGTGAAGCTGTCCATAAACCCAGGGAGAAAATGGTTTGCCTCCTACATATTAGAGAGAACATGCTTGTAGTAAGATGAGGACCTAAAACAAAAGCCCATGTAGCACAGGTCTAGTTTGAGGCCTGAGGCTTAGCTAACAATGAACAACACTTGGCTAATATAAAGCAAAGCTAAGCTGTGAGCAAGAGGCAGGCCCCTGGTCACACAACTTGGCATGAACAGGGCTGTCAGTATAAAACACTAATTGGTAGTAGGCCCAAGAGTAGAACAGTCATTGGTGCTTGGTACCAACTGTAGAACAGTAATTAGTACTAGTCATAAGTTGAAAGCACATTCCAAAAGGATGGTGCCACCAGCTCATTAAAAAAAAAAAAAAAAAAAGACCTAGATACACACACTCCCCACAGATACCAACCCAGGATCAGGAAAGGGTCTAAACTGACAGCATGATAGATAGAGATATTCTAATTAAACTATGAGGCACAGAGTGATGGGTGGTATCTAAGGAACGTCAGAGGGTGGCAACCTGACAATGTCAGAGGCCAGCAACCTGATAACATCAGGAGTGATGTGTAACTTGATTGTACCTGTATATAAAGTGGTGTCTTGGACGGATGGCCTTTGTCTGACCTGGGGGCAGTGGAACTTCCCACTGAATGAGTCAGTCCATTGTTCTGGCATACATATTCATAGTGGTTTGCAATGCCTACTAACAACTATTACTGTACTTTGCTTAACAACAAACTTGGCCTGGCACCTTCAATCCTTATCTGGTTTGTAGTCTTTGGGGGCTCTGGTGGCATCTGCTGTGGTGACTAATTGCACAAGTTAACATGGCACACATCACTGAACACACACACACACAAGTACCCTTTTGGTTATCCCATTTACAGAGCCAGAGACCTGTTGGGACATCACGACAGTAAATCCTGACCCTACTACATCAGTGACATTGAAAGAATGCTTACGGAAAAAGAGTATTGTTCAAGACAAAGGTTATCAGAATAAACTTCTAATGCCATTGATCTGCAACTATGACTTTCTCCCTGCATACTGAAAGCAGGGAGCTGAGAACTTTTGTGAAAATAGACAGAGGAATGTGCTAAAATACAAGTTGAAAAGGAAAACATGCTTACGCCGCTCGTTTCCACACCATGATCAGTTTGTCATCACCCCCTGATGCCAAATAAACCCCATTATTTGACCACCGCACACAGTTCACACAGGCTGGAAAAGAAGACAAAGTTTAAGATGAAATGCAAAAAATGATTTCATAATGAGAGCAGATTTCATAGTAAGCAAAGTTTGGCAAAAGATGCTTGGAATTTGTTCAATATGCTCACTCTGTTCAAAGCAGTTACTCTGTCTGCTTCAGATAAATGGATTGGCACTTATCTTTCAATACCAGTTGAATAACATATTTAACTTTCAACAACAAGCTCTTCTGTTTACAAAAAATTTATAAAAATATGGTTTAAAATAGAGATGTTAAAATTAGGTTAATTTACTAATTGAGTAATCAATAGAGTTGTTATCGACTAGTTCATTGGCTGATAGGGGACGGCAGCCTTTCAGATAAATGGATTGGCACTTATCTTTCAATACCAGTTGAATAACATATTTAACTTTCAACAACAAGCTCTTCTGTTTACAAAAAATTTATAAAAATATGGTTTAAAATAGAGATGTTAAAATTAGGTTAATTTACTAATTGAGTAATCAATAGAGTTGTTATCGACTAGTTCATTGGCTGATAGGGGACGGCAGCCTTCTCAGTACCGGCTCGCGCTGGGACCAAACTGCACTGCAGCTCTGCAATACAAAAGGCAGTAGGACCTGGGCAGTACTCCTCCTCCCCAACTCCTACTGTCTTTTAAATTGCAGAGCTGCAGCGGGGTTTGGTCCTGGACCTGGTGTATATAGGGACTGAGCTGGGCGGCCTGCCCACCCAGCTCCTAGAGCATTAGAAGCCGCTGCAGATAGCAACCCCTTTCCGTGGAGGGTTCCAGTGGGGAGCTGGGACCTCTCCCCCCCCCACAGGGACAGGGGCTACGGCCAGAGAAGCCTCTGCTCATGCAAATCCAGGCAGTGGGGGAGGGGAGGGAGAGGGAGAGAGAAAGGCAGCACTACAAAGATGGTGCTGGGAGAACCGGCTTTTAAGCCAGCTTCTCCCAGCCCCAGCTCTAGCTCCAGCTCCAGCTCCCCCACCCCCTTTTCTGCTTCTGATACAGAGGCAGCAAGGGGCAGGGAGGATTGAGAGTAGTTGAGTCGACTACTTGCTTAGATCCCTAGTTTAAAAGGGAAAAAGTAACAGTTGTCTGACTAAGGAAGTTGTTGGTGATAAATAAAATTGAATTAATCACAATTTATTAATTGTAAAGCCTGTAAACAATAGACTTTCAAGAAAAACAGGGAGCATCTAATTCAGATGAGCTAATTTCAGCCATTTTGCATGCATAGTACACTGCCTCTTAAGGACTACAATAAATATATTTCATATGGAATCTCCTCTGTTCATTCCTTTTCTTGTCCTTCTCGGTAATCCCAATAAAAATTTTGTTTTACAAGTTATTTTTGGTCTCACCTATTTAGGTGGAAAAGATTCATATGCAAGGAATCACCAGGTGTAAAATTATAGCTTGACAGGGTTTTCTGCTAAACATAACAAAAAAGGCACATACAGCCGGTCCCCGAGTTGCGAACGGTTGACCGACGACCGTTTGCAGTTACAACCGAAGCCGTCGTAAATGGCGGACCCCGAGTTATGAAAGCGATCCACGCTTACAAAGAGAGCAGTCGCGTATAACTCTAGGGGGTCTGACTTATGAACAAACTGAGTTTCGACCAGTTACTTGGTCCGTAACTGGTTCATAAGTTGGGAAGAGGCTGTAGTTGAGATCTGACACCTTCTGCAGTACATCACATTCTTTAAAACTGAACAGAGATTTTTATTTTTAATTAAAATAGATCTACTAACAGGTAATTACTCCAAGGCTCAAAGCCTATAGAGAATTCTTCTACGTTACCTAAGTGATTGTCCATCTGACAAAGCATTTTGGAAATATTTTCATTCTTTTCATCTTCCTCTTTGAGGACAGGATCCATATTCCAGATCACCACCTTCCCAGAATCCTGTCCTAAAAATAAAGAAATCAATATTGTAATATTAAACAAAATAATGCCTGAACTTACTTTAATGTCATAGAAAATTATTGGCTCTCTGATATTGGAGCAATGGATGCACTAAAAATCTTTAAAACAGACAAGGATAGACGTTTAAAGTTCATATTAATTTGCTGGTCCTCAAATAGTGCTTTGCTTTCATTTATCACAAAGCTATTAAGATGATCACCTGTAATGTTTACAACAGTAATATGACTAATTTATCATGTATATGAAAAATAAACTTAAGTTTAAGGAAATGGGGCATGTAAACTATCATTAGCCAGTATTATATATGGGTATCAGTTATATACAACAACATTATACATACTGTATTTGTGTTTTGCATAACTATGAACAACTATGAAGTGTATTAATGTGAAGCTTCTCTCAAAATCCTGCATATAATTATGCTAAGAGAAAATGTATTATGCATACTCCTATCATCTTTTGTACTCAAGCCAAATGAGTAGGTAAACTGTAGATGAACCCTCTTCTTGGTGCATGTAGGTACAATCAGGAGCAATATGAATGTTATGATATGGCTTGCTAAATTGCACAATGTGCTATGTCACAGAATACTAAGAGTGGATAATATGGAAATATATCAGAGTGACAGTATTAAATGGATATTTTTGTTGATACCTACCCAGCATTCAAACCTGTAGGTATAGCTAGTATAAGATGCCTAGAGGTTTTGGTGACTTCTGGAAAACTATGCTGGTAAGAACTGGTATGTAACTCTTAGGAAAGTCATAACCATCTAGGGATGTAAAATACTATTTAATTAGTGGGTAGGTGAGTAAAATCCCATTTAATGGTGGCAGGGGCTGCTCCAGTCCGTCTGCTTTTGGCCCTGCGCTGGGCTGCCGGCTCCCAGCCCACATGGGTTGGGAGTCTCATGCAGGGTCTGAAAGCAACAGCCAGCTCCTGCTTCCCTCTGGGCTGCCACTGCAGCGGCTACCAATTCCCCCTCTGATGCTTCCAGTGGGGCACTGGTGAGGAACTACTCCCAGGTAACAGTTAACTATTACCCAGTAAGCATCACCCATTATGGTTACCCATTCACATCCCTGTAACCATCTAAAATGTAAATAAAGCAAAAGTCTACCCATGATTTCAGAGAAGGTTTGAAGACACCATGGAGCTTCTATCCAGACTTATTAAAACTTGCCTTTGTGTATTGTGCTAATCTATCTTTGATTAATAAACTATTTGAGCCTGGTTATCTGACGTTTCATGACTCAATAACTGAAACCAAATCTTAATACTACCAAATTCTATTTGTGTATATTAATGTACAAAATATTTCTAATGTCTACAAATATATATATATATTTAAATGTTTAATCCCAATTTCCACGGGCTACCAATATAAAAAGCCAAACTGCAAAATCCCTAAAGAAGACTTTTGGCAAATAATTCTGTGAAATTAAATAACAATATTGGTAGCAGCAGACATATGACTACTGCAAGTGCTATTTTTCATTGATGCCCAGGAGAACAAGCACGACCATGTCCATAAGCATGAATTTGCCACCATGAGCAGTGTTCCCTGTAAACTGTGTGTGATGGAATGGAGATTTTGTCCACTCTTCTAGTCCTATGTTCACTCTGATTTTGCATTCACTGGTTCCTTTGTTGTGCTTTATGTGACCCCTACTATCCTATGATGCTCTACAGTGAGAGAGAGAGAGAGAGAGAGAGAGAGAGAGAGAGAGTGTGCGCGCGCACGCGTATGCATGCGCACGCGCACACAGTGCCCATCAGGGAATGGGTTCTTTGGGGGGAGAACTTCTGAGGGGAGGCCCGTAGGCAATTGCCCAGGGTGGCTTGACACCTTAGCTAGATGGAGGAGTCAGTAAGGGGACATTTTGCCCCAGGGAATTTGACCAAAGCAGGAGTCAGAGCAGCCTAGAGGCTGTGTGCAGTAGGGTTGCCAGATGGTTTCAACAAAAATACCGGACACACTTGATATTACAACTCAATCTATATTACATCTTATTTAGAAAATACCAGACATTTATATTTTCTCGTTTATATTTTCTCAATTTGTTTCCCGAACAGAAGCTCAGATACTGGACTGTCTGGTTCAAAACCGGACACCTAGTAACGTTTGTGGCTGGCGGAGGGAGAAGGGAGCCTAGTTAGCTGGGGGCTGGGACAGGGCCCCAGAGCTGGGGATCTGGGCCCCCCCTTTCCTCAACATGGGCTGTACTGGCAACTCTTAGTTCCTGTAACAAGAAGTCTGAGCTACGCTGTGTCCCTGTGAACCAATAAGCCTTCTGTTCTACTTGCTGGCTGAGAGTCACGTCTGGCTGTGAAAGGGGGTGCAGGGCCTAGTGACTCCCCACACTCTGTGATGCTGTGCACTTGTGTAGCCACTCAGGAGAAATTCATATGCCACCAGCTCATTAACAAAGCACCCATAGCTAAGTTTTGTCTTTCTATTGATGGTGTACATTCACACAAGTCTTGGTGCACATTAAAAATGTATTATAAACTTCGGTGGGAAAAAATCTTCACATGATGGAAAAGATGAGCATGAACACTGCAGCATTTTTAGATGTCACACGTTCAGATTTTATATCTCCAGGGAATAATTTTCTTAAGCGAGAAGTTTGTTTTTTAAACGGATAAAATGAGGAAAAGGTGGGGAGGAATATTATTATAGCCCAGAATTCCTTCCTCCATTAGTGTGCAAACTTACCTTGTCCTCCAGTCGCAAACTTGGTCCCATCTGGGTGAATATCAACTGAAAATATTGGCTTTCCTGGACAAAGAGAAAGGGGGCGGGGGGCAGAAAGCATACATTGAGATGACCTATATTCCTAAAAATGCAATAAATGCCAACAGAATCTCAAATGTTCTGGTGAGTAAAGTATCAATTTTCATTTTCTAAAAGTTGTAATCTGTATATAAGAAATACGGTTGACTAGAAAGTATAAAACATCCAACATACTAACAAACTATAGCCTACCCAGATTAAAAACCCCACAGGAGTATAGGATCTCTCATACCAGAACCAGTCATATACTGCCTCTATATCAGCCTAGTGCTTCAAAGCAAATAACCTCCTTCATAATTGACCTAGCCAATTATGTAAAGCTTGGGATATAATTTTTTCTGACCCCTATCGAATTGATGACTTGAAGCAAGAGATTTGGATTTCTCCCTACTTCAGATAGTGTAACAATTATTACTGTTAATATAATCTAGCTCAATTTTATATCTTACTGTTAAATACATACAAAGTACAAAATACCTAGAGATCTATCAAGTTATTTATATGGCTTCTATCACCACAATAACAAAGCACACCACTGGAATACAAAATATTAAGAATTAACCAATTAAATCTTAAATACTTTATTTAAGACTAACACATCTCAATTCAAAAACAATAAAACAATAGTTTTTGTATCCTTTCCCAAAGTTACCACTGTGAAACAGTTAAAATAATCTTTGCTGAGAAAAAAAATTAACTTGCAGCCTCCCTTGAGGCCAATGAAGCCAGTAAGGATTAGCTGAAGGAAGCTGAATAGGAAGAGAACACAGTAGAAATTCAAGCAGCAAAATTCAACAAAAACAAACAAGAGTAACAAAGGATTTAGATAGTCCAACAAAACTTCAAGCAGCAACTGAAAGACATCTGAACTTGAAAAAACTAGAAATACTGCCATATGTCAAAATCATCAGCATCCCAATTGGAAGGACGGCAATGAGGTAATAAGAACTCTGTAAATGCTATCCAAGAGTATAACATTTAGCATTTGAGCAGCTTCCCACACTGGTGGAATGGCTATACTGTATCCTGTAAAGATATAAAAGGGAAAACTAGAGGAACTTTTCCATCTTATTTTTTATGCTGTCACCCATCACCATAGCTTTTGAGTCCCTTTAGCATAGAAATGGTAGAAACAGCAAAGCCCATAATGAGTTTTGTTAAGTTTCTGGTATTTCTGTTGTTGGGAGTAAATACAATTCTGTTTATGATTATTTGTTTCAGGGTCATTTTTAAAGTTATTTATTTTATTCTTATTGAAATGCTGACATGTGATTCCAGTAACATCCTACAGGCAGCAAAGCCAAAAGCTGAAGTATAGTAGGAAGGGAATCAAATTGCATTCTTTCCAGATCCAAGTCCTATAAAGCACATAAAACACACAAACTGTACTGTAAGAACTATGGCTCTTCTTCTGCTGGTCTGTACTTTACTCTGCCAAACTGCCTATAACTTTCAGAGATAACCAATGTATTTTTGGAAGCACACACAGGAAATAAACTTCTGTAAGAATTAAACAAAAATGGATCTTCAAGGCTCTAAGAATAAACTAGGAGACTAAACTATTTAGACCTTGTCCGCATGAGAAAGTAGCAAAGGTTTAACATAAAATGACTTAAACAAAAAAAAGCCACTAATACTTATTTTTTGTTTAAGATTAACTGAAATCAGCCAAAGTAGTTTGTACTGGTATAACTATCCAACTTTAAAAGCTGATTAAGTTAAATTGATGCAACTTTATTGTGCATACAATAGGAATGTGAAAGTATAACTGATTACATAGTGGACCAATGAGCCTCTGGTTTGTTTTTTTTTCTCCTACCTGCCCTCCCCCTCCCCTTGATGGAGTTTGTGCTGTGATTGGCAGGTGGAAACTGTTGGCTTCTAATTAAAGTTTGAATTCTAGAAGCCTCTGCTGATTGGCTGAGCCTTGGTAGGGGGAGGGGCTTTATAAGGCAGTGGGAAAGCGACCATGAGTGCCAGGTGATTGCTAACAGGGAGTTTTGAGAGGGAGTTCTCCAGGTGAAGGAGAAGCAGATACAGGACTCTTGAGGGAAGTGTGTTTTGTTATTGGGGCTTTCTCAGTGTGTGCAGAGCTTGTGTTTGTTTGGTGTGTGGTGGTTTGTGGGGTTTTTTTTTTCTCTTCCTTTCCCTCCTCCCCCCCTGTTTGAGTGAGGCTTTAGAGGGGGAGTTCTCCAGGTAGAGGACAAGTAGATACAGGAGTTTGGGAGAAGTGGGTGTTGTGCTTGGGGCTTCTTGCTGTATGCTGAGCTTGTGTTGTGAGTGAGGGTTGTGTGTGTTCTTGTTTGTTTATTTATTTATTTATTTATTT